ATCTGCTTTCCTTGAGATCCATGGCACAGCTTTCACTGGCTGTACTTGAATAGCCGTTCTCAAGCATTCTAGATCAGGCCCGCTTTTAAAAAATGGATTTACTAGTTTAGTATTTATCTATGCATGGACGCATGTGCTTGTTCTCTAGCAGCCTGCCTCCCATCTTCTCCTGCTCCAGCGGCCTCCCCTCCCCTCCCTGCTGGTTTTGGGTGGTGGAGGCGAGTCTGCACTCAGATTCCAGCAGAGGCTGACTAGCCTCTCACTCCTTTGTGCACCCTTGCTCAGAGTAAGTATCTCCCTTGAAAGCCGCTGGGCTACAGGGTGGCCTCCCTGTCCCAGTGCCTGCCCGCACTGCACTGTCTGGACAGAGCTCCCTGTGAGACATCTCCCTTCTCCACCCTGCTCATCTCTGCACCCAAGCTTTAGTGCTTGCACCCGAGCTGCCGCAGGCAAGCTGGTGTGCCGGGGCACCCCAGAAGGGAGGGTGCAGCCCTGTCTGTGTGGCTTCATTGCCACTGTCTCATCAAAACAGGGCTTTTCATTGCATACGTCAAGGGAGAACAGCTCAACTAGCTGCTGCTGTGAAGCTGGCACCTGGCACAGCCCCACTCCCCAGTTCCCATCCCCTGGTCCATGGTTCATGCTAATACGGTATTTCATGCTGTGCAAAAAGAAAAAGATTTTGCTACGAGCTAGAGATACCAGTCTGTCCTGGGGGACCCCACAGGGTGTTTCATCCTTGAGACTGATCTCCACAGTCTCTCTGTGCATCGCTTCACCTTCCCCTGGAGTGGGTCTGCAGCACAGGGCAGCTCTGTGCACCAGAGGCAGAGGAAGGGGTGTCTTCTCCAGCTGAAAAGTGATGTCGGATCTCTCAAATGTGTAATTGGTACTGTAACCTGGATTAATCCGTCCTTCCAATGCATATAATGGGACAGCAAATGTTACTGAGATTTCATGGCCACTGGTTCACCAGGGGATGCTTAGCTGGAGAGAGCTGCCCTGATGCCAAATACGCATCTGAGATGTGTATTTGAGGGAAGATCCCTTTCAAGAATATCTGCTTGAGCTGGGAACCTCTAGGCCTGGTTCAGTCACTGCAGACAGGTCCAAGTTAATAGCAGGCGTAAAGAAAAAACAGAGATGTTTTATTGCTTGTCAGAGATTCCCCCCAAGCTATTTTGGCATTGGCACACGTGAACATTCACTAGGAACTTCTTCAAGCTCTAATTAGCTGTATTTGAGTAATAAGAGCTTCTATGGTGAGTAATAACATGGATGAGTAGGTAAGGGCTCTGGAGGCCTCGCCAGCGTAGTCACATCTCCCTCTTTCGGCTGCTACAGGACACCAGCGGCCAGGAGGCAGGAAACCACGATTTTTAGTGCTTAGTGGTCTTTGCTGCTGTTTAGCTGTGTGGACTGCATGCGTTGCTGTGGATTGGAAGTGTAAAAGGATAGCCCCGAGAAATTGTTCCCAGAGGAGACAGTTATGGGTGGCTGTGGGCTTTTTGCATATACCACAGAAATTTGGACAGAGGGAAGGAAAGGATTTTTTTTTTAAAGATGAAACCAAGTCAGCAGTAGATGAGTGTGCTACCCCCATTGCTTCCTGGGGTAATTAGTGGGAAATGGTGAAGCGAGAGCCCACCCAAGCCTGAGGGTCACAACTGTAGTCACCGTGTGGGCAGCGGCTCTCCCTTCTCCTCCCAGCCCCCCAAGCAGACACACTTTGTCAGTAGAAATCTCCCTGTGACAGGCACCCATTAGTCCTTGTTTGAAAACTAGCTGCTCTATCTTGGGCACCGCTAGAATGTAAATGAAATTACACACCATACCTTGCCCAGCACAACCAGTGAAACCCTAATTTCTTAAGAATTCACACCCTATTTCCCTTATGCTTCAGGCTCCATTGCCCTTAGAGTAACGCCCGCTCTCTCCACGTCCCAGCAGATGTGCTGCCTTCTCCATATCCAGTGCTCCTATGACCCAGGTGGAGGGAAGGCAGCGTCAGTCCCCGCTTCCTCCTCTGCCAGCCGGCTGCTGCTTTCCAAGGCTCTCGCAGGAGCACGGGGCTGTGATTCAACTCACCCCGCTTCAGCACTGCGCGGCAGAGCTGCGCCTGCCTGGGTGCAACCCCCCTGGCTCCGGGCAGAGGAGCCCCCCCGGAGGAGGCAGCTGCACCCCAGGCTCCCCAGAGAGGAGCTCTGCTTGCAGAGGGAGCGTGGAGCGACCAAAAGGTGGGTAGATGCTCCCTCTGCATCCCTGACATCTCTGTGCTCTCTGTCACACTTGGCTGAAGTGGGCAGGGGGTTGAAAAGCTGCTGGGGAAGGTGCCAGCCAGACAAATGCCCTGTGGTCTCACGTCCTTCGCAGAGTCTCTCTAGCCCTGCTTTTTTTTCCCTATTTCTGTTGGATGGAAAACCTGCCCGGCCAGAATTCAACCGATGGACGCAAGCAGTGAGGCCTCATCACAGGCAAAGGATAAGTGATGTGAGATGCTGTTTGTTGTGGTCATGCTGGTCCCCATTTCACAAAAACCAGTATAAAACACAGCTCTGTAGTTTCCACTTCCTTGCAGTTATATGGCAAACACTGGAGCAAAAATACTGTTCCAAATACTGGGTCCAATCCTGTTCAACATCTTCATTAATGATGGGGTTGTGGAGTCTCCCTCCTTGGAGATATTCAAAAGCCATCTGGATGTGGTCCTGGGCAACTGGCTCTCGGTGGCCCTGCTTGAGCAGGGGGTTGGGCCAGGTGACCTCCAGAGGTCCCTTCCAACCTCAGCCACTCCGTGACTCTGTGATTTGGGGCACCGCATTGCCCTCAGCGCCCCGCTTTACTAGCACCCACAAACTGCACGTTAGCAGAGGAAGCAAGAAACTCTGTTTAAAAGGGCTTTGTTCCAGCAGGATGTCTTCAGTAAACATGTATCTTATGTCCCCAAATAGTTTCGCTACAGCCAAAAGAATTTACGAACCCCTTCCCTGAGCCAGGCCATCATTGCCTTTTCCAGCAGTGTCGGTTTTGCCTACCCAAGGCCTCACTTAAGCTCTGAGGTAGTTATTGCCTGCAGGAACGGCACCGTCCTGTCCTTCACAGTGCCACCAGCAGCACTTCTCAGATGCTGTACATTTGAGTGCAGCACCTGTAAACTTTGGGATGTGTCTCCGTCTGCCTCCAGCCACCCCTTCCTGATCCTCCAGACAAGTTGCACTTCAGAGTAGACTGACCCCGAGGCACTGGGGTGAGGGTGCGGGTTTAAACGAGCACGTTGGTTAGTGGGGGCTGCTTGGCCCCCCAGGGATGCCGGCAGGAGGAGTAAGCCTTTTTGCTGCAGTGTTATTCTTTTCCCAACAAAAGGCAAGAAATTCCCAGGGTAACGCTTTAGAGCAGAAGTTATCAAATAGTTCTCTAGGGATGTAAAGGGGTAACTTAAATTATGCGTTTATTTAAAAATGGATTGAGTAAATTTGGTGTTGGAGTTGTAAAATATACAAACCTCAAGAAATGAACAAACAGAAGCAGGAAATCTGGCTAGCCACGCTCGCAATGGGGGGAACCATTCTAAAACCGTCCCTGTTTCGGAGACCCCATCCTTCCCTGATGTTACCACATGCTTCCTCACCCCTGCAGATGCACTGCCTGCGGATCGCCCTGTGCGCTTGCCTGATGCTAGAGCCGTGATTTTCCTCTCCCGTGTCACTTGCTGTGCTCTAGTACCCAGCTGGCATCTTGCAGCACATCCAACAACACCTTGATCTCCCCCCAGTCTTCTCCCCAAGTGTTTTGCACGGGGATGTTGTTGCTCATCCACAGTTATGCATCGCTGCCCTCCCCGAGCCCTCTGGCCATGCCTCTCCCAGGACCTCCCTCCTCTTCACAGCCTTTCCCTCCCCACCGCCGCCTCTGCCAGGACGAGAGAGCCCTTAACACTAAATGCTTCGCCACACTCCATCAGGTGGAAAAGCGGCCACTGAGTCCTGGTTACAGAGAAAAGAAACCTCCTTGGGTTTACACCCCTACAGCAATGGGGCTGTGGACCTCAGGGCCCAGCACTTCACCGGCTTGTGTTAAAACCCACAGGGACCGACAGGTCCCAAATAATGTGCTCCTTTTTCACCATGGGCAGGTTGCGGAGCAGAGATGTTTGGGGCAGTTTTGCCAGCAGAAGCACGTTGTAAGGGGACATGGGTGGGTGTTCAACATGGCACTCTCCTCCCAGGTGATGGGCTAATGGGGGCTGGTTGTGGGGCGAAGTGGTGCCGGCTGCGCACCTGCTCTCCTCCAGCACCACGGGTAACGCTGCTGGTGAATGGTCGATCCTGGGCTGCTTCCACCAGCACACGCTCACCTACTTGGCCGCAGCACGCAGCTGCATGGGGGGCTCTTGCCAAACAGCAGAGGGGAGGCAGGGGGGAGCATTGTTCATGCTGGCTACAACAAACACTGTTTTTACATCTCCCAGACAGGGTCAACTATCCCCATGGGGTGCTTGAAATGCTGGAATTCACCAGCTGTTTTCTTTGGACACTGGCATGTTGTATCTGGACAGAAACCGAGGCGTGCTGTTGGACTGGGCACATCCACTGGACTGCTGCGCCAAGAAAACTTTGCCCACTGCTAGGACCTCTGCCTGCTTTATAAACAGAAAGGCTGTTTGCCCTGATCTGTGGCCCTCTGGAGAAAAGAAGGAAGGCAGCTCGCCCAGGGTCACGGGGAGAGCTGGAGCAGGGCGATTTCCCAGGCTCCAACCCGATAGCATCATCTCTACCCCTCCCCTCTGAGGGCCTCCGGCAGGACCCCACCAGCTTTGAGCAGGGGAATAAAACACACAGCATAAAAACCCAGCACCTGAGGCAAGTGATAGACCTCACCCAAGGAGCTGTCTTACAGGCCAGAGAGAAAATACTCAGAATAAAGGATGCTGTAAAGAGTGCCCATGAGGTTCTTAGCACATGGTGGCTGCACACAGGACCCGGGGCTGCTTTCACAGAGACTTAGCTGCGGAGCAGTTCCTGGGAGCAGCCGGAGGCTTTGAACCCTTCTGGGATGTCGCTGTCCAGTTTGGAAATTATTTTGTAAATGGGTTTCTTCCAGGAGGGGTCAGTGTCCTTGCCCGCCCTGACGGCGCTGAAGAACTCCCGCAGTGTCAGACTGGCCACCTCCAGGAACTGCCCTGGCACCTGCGGCGAGACGGGCATCAGCCCACGGCACCACTGGGTCCCCGGCTCCCCCTCGCCCCGGCAAACCCCATCACCCCGCCACCTCTGCCCCCCAGCTCCCCTTCCTCACCTCAAAGTCGTTCCCCTTGTTATAGTGCATGTTGAGAGCGCGGAAAAGCTCCGAGTCCCGGGAGACCTGGA